CCGCACAAAGAAGCAAATCGCGAGCGCAGCCCCTCCTGGGCGACTTGGAGCGTGGAGGGGCCTGACGCGCAGGTATTTTGTGCGCAAAGATTTTCTACACCCCGAGCGGAGGATTTTCTGTTTCGGACTCTTTTTCCCTTCTCACTCCCCACAGAGGGGGGTGGCCCGTCTCTCCAGTCTCCAATTCAGGCCCGATTTTTACTTCCCCAGTTTGCACTCACGTTAGAAGGCTTTCTCAGTGGAATCTGCGTCCTTTCTCTCCCAGTCTCTTGGGTGTGGTACGGTTTCCCATGGCTTCAGATCTTTTCCGTGTGATGCCTGGGCGCAAGTGCAGGTACGGAGCTCCCTACTTCTCCACCATCTTCTATACAAAAAAAAAAAAATCTGGTTCCAGTTTCTAGAAGATTTCACATCTGATTGTGCCTGCCAGTTGCTTCCCTTTGCTGTTTTCATACCATGCATTTTCATATGATATTTCATGTTGATTTTCATAATAATCCTATGAGGTGGGCACTGTTTTCCATTATTATATTATTTTGGAGGGAAAAACTAAGACCCAGATATTGACTTGCACAAGGTCATATGACAAAATGAGGGTCAGGACTCAAACCTAGGTCCCTGACTCTAATATTAGCCCATGCTTTTGGCACTGCCCGTACCATGTTGTCCTAGGTCTTAGAAATTTTCTCTGGTTTGAGAGCACAGCTTCTTGAGGGCTGTGATGCCTTACCAGAGAAAAGAAGTTATTTAAGGCTGTAGTATAAGGACTGTTGCAGACACACTTCTGATAAGATCCGTTTAGGGTTCGGACAGAGATTCACACTCACATCCAGGACTGAGCCAATGGGGAAAGAGGCCAACTCAACTATCCATACTCTCTTTCCTTCCCTCCCTTTTGTGCATTCTAGTGTCCCCCCTGTGGTCACTGCCTGTGAAGCTGAGTGCCCTGTTTCTGTTCTCTGACTGTGGTGGTCACCCACACCTCCTGTCCCTAGGTTAGGTTACACTTTTGCTACAATATTAACAGTTTACCTGTTCTGCTTCCCATTTGCTTCATAATCTTTTATCATCCTTAATCTGTGATAAACTCATTCATTAAGATGTATGGGGGGAATTTTCAGTTTAAAAAAGGAGGAATCCTCAAGAAGACAAAGAAACAAAAACATTAATCAAAAAATATTAATTTCTATGAGTAGAGATCTTTTTGTGGCAGAATGGTTTTTCTGCTGCACACCTAACACTATACCAGAATTGATCACCAACAATATGTTAATGACTTCCCTCGTCTATATTCTTTTCAGCAATTAATTAAAATATCCCAGTTCTGATAAGCATTTCATAAATACTTTGATCTCACTTTGCCTGCGTTAGTAGTGGAAGAAAATGTAGGAGAAACTATATCAGCTTTGAAGAAAACAAGCCCAAGTTTAAAGCCCACCTTTGTTGTTTTTGACAAGTCACAGAATCTCTAAGTCTTGGTTTCCTCATTTGTAAAGTGGAGTAATACTTCCTAGCTTCTAACTTATAAGGACTGAATGTAAGAAGCCCTCAAGCCCCCGGTGGTGTGCTGAATTGGCTTGTCCTGGTTCCTAAGAGCCAATTATTAAATTTTCAGGAACTTTCTGAGTTGGTTGTTAAACATAGCTATTAGTAAAAATTAAATAAACTTACAATTAAATACATTTTAAAAACAGAGGTAATAAATACTCAAAACTCATCACATGCTAGTTATTTTACTATATTTTACAATTATCTCTGCTCTTGTGGTTAATTCCATCTATTGTATCTGTAAGGTGGAAATACTAAATAATGGTGTGACACTGTACATTTCTCCCCAACCTTGTGTTGAGTAACATCTTGTTGATAGTGTGGCCACGATGAGAATATTTACACCACCGAAATGAGCAAAATCTATAAATCAGGATCTGATTTATTGCTTTGTTGATTGCATAAGACAAGCAGGGCTGGTGGGCAAAATTTGGCCCGTGGATAATTTTGTATAGCCTGGAAACTAAGAAGTTTCATATTTTTTAAGAACAACAGAGATCATATGTGGCTGCAAAACCTAAAGTATTTACTTTTTGGCCCGTTAGAGAAAAGTTTGCTGAGGAGAAAATGTTAATAGTAAAGATTAAACTTAAAAGCGCCTCATGCTTGTAGCTTTACATTGTGAGGAGCACACACATCAAAGTGAAGAAATGTCTTCCAGTGTCTGAAAACTATTATTTGGTTCAGCAAAGAAGCTGCTTATGTCACTGATTAATAAGTGAACTTCTAACATATATGTTGCAGCTGAAAGAGGGATCAGTTTAATGAATGTAATTTGTGTGAGGGTAACAGTTCCACAGTACATTGCACATGTGATTTCATGACAGCAAATCTACTGGGAAAAGCATTAGTGGACTAGAATGCAGTTCCATTTATTAAATCATGGTTGAAAACCAGCTACCAATACAAGAGAATTCAGCAAAGCTAAGTAAAAGGATTCTGTGATAGTCAATTGGCTACATGGAATTTACAATATACCAAAACTCTGTGTTTTATTATTATTTGTGAAGCGTGTTACACATCTGTTATATCTAAAAAGTTGAAATATATGAGCGTGTGTCTGTATATGTACTCATCTCTCTGAGAGCTATCTGTTAAACATTCCCCAGCCCACCACTGCCCCCACCTCTATTTCTTCATGCCTCCTGCATACTCTCTTGAAAAGCACTGGCCTTCTTTTACTTCATGGGATCCTCCACACTACCTCCTGGCTCAGAGCTTTGCTATTGCCTTTTCCTTTTCTCCTCAATACCTTTCACTCTCAAGACTCCTGAGCTCCTTCAGATCTAGACTAGCTGGGCAAACGTGATAGTGTCAAATACCGGGGAAAACAACAATAGCCAATGCTTAGGTAGCACTTCTATGTATCAGATTCTCTATATGTAGCAGCACATAGCAGATATGAATTGATTTAATCTTTAGAATAACCCCATGAAATGGGTAGTAATTATATGTCCGTGTTACAGATGAGGAGATCTAGGTATGTAAAGTAAAATCCTAAGGTCTAAGGTCACACAGCTCATATGTGGCAGAGCTGAGGTTTCGATACAAGTGATAGGTTCCAGAGTCTGTGTCCTTCATCATCATCTTCCACTGCGACTGGTGAGAATAGCATAGGCTTCTGCTACCCAAGAAGAACTGGCCTGGCAGTCATTCAGGAGTCTTCAGGCCGCCCAGAGCTGCAGAGCAGGACTCTCCAAATCAGAGTGGGTAACTTAAAGGGCTGAATTCCTCTTCTTCCTTGTGACGAGGGGTGTGTCTGGGGGTATGCTTCAGTACATAGGGAACCCATAGGTATAATGAACGTGAGCCTAAAGGACCGACACATGTTGTTGAATAAGAGGACTAAAATTTAGCATTCTTAAGAGATTTGAACGTAGAACTTTCACTAACTTTACCAAGGAACATTGGCACACGCACACACACACACACACACACACACACACCCATGTGTGTGCACAGGCATGCTACTTTGGAAAGTTCTTCTTTTCTCAGATCACTCATTGATTTAGCTAACGAATAGTTATGCAATCAATTTTCCATGAGACGTACTATGCTAAGACCAGGAATGGATATAAAGGCAAGTTGGCTACTGTGGGTGTCCTCCAGAAATTTTGTTCTTATAAGAGAGATAGCAGGTAACTCTGATAGACAAGTTCAGAAGAATTAAGGGACAATGAGGGAACTACAAATACAGGATGACAAGGGTTTGGTGGGCAGCATGGAGGCAGATGAGGAATGGGGTTGGCTTCAGGGAGGACACAGCACTTGTGGTGGGCCTGACAGACCTGAGGATAGAAAACGAAGGTGATTTAGTTAAAAGGAAGAACTTGTGCAAACCCACGGAGGTCAGAGAGCTTGGCATAGGTGTGCAAGTAGTCAAGGTCCGTAGAGAGACAGGATGTGAGAAAATGCTAGAAAGATAGATTAGGGCTGGATTGTCAGAGGTGGAAGAGGTTCTAAATGTCAAACCATAGCATTTTAAAATTATTTTGTAGGCACTGGGAACCCATTGGGAGTTTTTGATTAGGAGAGTGTCTAGCAGGGTGCTTGCTGGGTACATAATATGCAGACAACCAATCAATATTAGTTCAATTGAGAAAGCAAAAAAGTAATAATGGCTAAAATTTATTGTGCGCTTTCTGTAGGTCAGGCACTTTTTTCAAACATTTTATACATTTTTAACTATGCATGCAAGTGTCACCACATCCCATGAGATAGTCCATTTCCACCTTCCAGAAGAGGAAGCTAAGACTCAGACAGGTTCCATATCTTGCCCAGGGCTGTGACAAACAGGCAGGCATCTGACCGTAGCCCAAGCTTTATGCCTCTATGCAACGTGGAAAGCAGAGAAAGAAGAGATATGAGGCCAATGCTGTTCTTCAGAAAGGAGGCTGTGGTAGGCCCAAATTAGCAGAGGAACAGGGTGGGTTGGAAATAAGAGACATTCCAAAGATAGAATCCACATGAATCTGTTATTACTTGATATAGGAGGCCCAGGAGAGGGAAAGGGTCAAGAAGGCTCATTTGCTAACTTCAGTCCCTGGGAAGGTGGAGGAGCTATTAAAAGAAATTGCGGGGAGGGGAGAGGACAGTTCCAGTTTCAGACCATGGATGCAGAAACCTGGGTCCTCAGAACCCTGCAAAGCAGTCTGAGGAGAAATGTTTTAAAAGGCAAGCTTCAGGGCCCCTCGGCTGGGTCCCATTCCCTACTCTGGAGCTCTGGGAGTTGTCCTGGGAATCTCGAGGCTCTCCCAAGGTTCCTTTCTATGTTTATATCATTTATCAGGGAAAGGATTGTTAATGACTAATCTGTGTTCATGAGGCACGGAGCCAAGAATGAGATGTTGCTGCTGAGCCGGAAGGCTGCCTGTGATCATCTACAGCTTTTGCTAGAACTCTCCCCTCTTCCGCCTCCTCCTCACCCCACTGTCTCCTGGACTCACCCCAACGCAAACCCAGGTTCTGAGCATTTGTAGCACAATTGCTGCGATTTGGAAGTAGACTGGACTCAGAATCCTCCCAGGGCCTTGAAAGTTTATCTCCGACCTGAGACAATCCAAGTGAGTACCTAATTCCTCTGGGAAGGGTGTCTATCTCAAGGCAACAGAGGGGAAGTTATCATTTAAATTTTTTCATTAACATTAGGAAGTGAGTCAATGAATGAATTCTAAGTAGAGTTTGATATAAAATCCTGAAAACAAGAAGGGAGAGAAACTTTAAAAACAAACAAAAGCAGCAGGAGTTATTGGGTCTAACCGTTGCTTACCTTATTGACAAATTATTTAGGAATATCTTTTAAACATTGTGGTCACCCAGGAGAATCACCAGAGACTGTGAATTTCAGAAATGTTTCTGTTCTGATTCCATAGACAATTTGACCTGTATAGTATGCTCTATTTTGGTGATTTATTAAATCTTGCTGTCAGTCTGGGAATATTGCTAATATCAAATGACCTGGGGACTAGGGACAGGACAATATTTAAGCCATTCTTAATTGAAATAAAAGTTTTTCCTAGGAGAAGAGTAGGTTTAAAAGCTTTCTCTTTTAATTTTGTTGTAAACCTGCTTTCTATTTATCATATTAATATCAGATGGAGATACTAAAAAAACATGGAAAATGTTAGGAAGAACTTCAATATTAAAATTGTACAAGGTCTGACTCTATGGGTAAGGCATCTCCTGGTCTGCTTACTGTCATAGTGAATTAAGCAACTGAAAGGTGAGCCTGGATTGTTTCTCTTAACTGATTTTTTATTTAGAAAGGGGGAGGGGATACACGTGGCTCATTTTGGCTTCTTTCTCTGGGAAACTCACCTGAGTTTTAAAGAAATTTGATGTGCCACTGGCACTGCCTTAGAAGGACTTTGGCAGTATTAACAGGAGAAATAGAGAATGATGTTGAGGGAACCATCACTGGGTTTCTAGCTGTAATTTTATGAAATGGTAGACACTTTCATCTTTGAGTCACTCCCCCACTCTCCCCACTCCAAATTATGGACCTATGCCATTTGCACCGTGGACTTTTCTCTTTTGCTGAGAATGTTGCAATGTGGCTGATGCAACTTGAAGGTAGCTGATAAGTACCAGCCAGGGACAGCACACTCTTGTCCTGAGACCCTTCCTCAGTATTTGCAGCAATGTTTTTCTCCAGGCTCCTCTGCCCTCTTCTCATAGTCGGAGAAAGAAAGTAATGTAATCTGGTCTTCCCACACCTTCCATACCTCCCAAATCTGGCCAGATTGTAATGGAATACCCAATAGTTGTGAGGCCCTGAGTATTTTGTAAGGAAAAGAAAAGAAAAGAAATGTGTGTATGTGTTCATGAGTGTATAGTGGAGCTGATTTTGAGTGTCTGCTGACAGGTCACAGGCTTTGCCTAAACTGCCTGTTCCCTTCTCATAATAAGCCTACTTGAATTTTGTCTTATATTCATTTTTCAGATGAGCAAACAGAGGCTCAAAGAAGACAACTCATTTTTAAAAAATCAACTCTACCTCCAGTATGGGGCTAGAGCTCACAACCTTGCGATCAAGAGTCTCATGTTTCTACCAACTGAACCAGCCAGGCGCCCCCGAAAGAGAGCAAATAGATTATCCACAATTACACAGTTAGGAAGTAGCAGGTCCTGAACATGAGCACAGGTCTTTCTGACTCCAAAGTCTTTTCCTTGCTATCCTTAAATTGTTGGAGGCTGGGAAAGTTTGAAATCTGGAATTATGGGAGAACAGCGGACCAGCCTACAAACATTTCAGCTGGCAGGAGTGATGTGTTAGCCGTAGCAGAGTTGTGAAGATTCCCAAAGCTTCATAGGGTGTTTTCTACTGACTGCACCATGAGCAGGGGAAATGGAAATTTTCAGCACTATCTGCTTTAACCCAGAGGTCAACCTGGGAGCGTTGGTTGGAGATTTCAGTTATGAGCATCTTTATTAAAGACTCCATGAACCCGCCATGGTGCTATGATTAGGGATGTCCAAGAGAAACTCAGCACTCTATTGGTTCACAGAGTCTGCAGGTTATGAAAGCCTGGAGAATACACATCACCATGTGATAAATTTTAAAAAGCTCACATTGTCCTCAGGTGAATGAATAAAGGAAAGCATGAAGGCATGTGTTCTTTTCTTGATAGGAAGAGTTTCCCCTTCATTTTGCTATTAGTCTCATTTTCCTCTTACATCCTAGCAACATAGATTATGAAGGGGCTAAAAGAAAAATGACCAATTTTCTTCTTCCCAGGTATTTCCTATTGTGGTGTTATTTCCTGCCAGTGGAGATGTGGCTACATACTATGCGAGTGTTTTTAGTTACTAGCTGTATGAGAGCAAACATCCTCTCTTCTCTCTTCTTACTCTATTAATTCTCTAACCCCTGTGCTCTCCACAGGCAGTTAGTTTTTAACTCACTTTGCTCCTTTCCAATTTTCCTAATAAAGGAGTGTCTGCTATTCTTATTCTCTCTCCTTTTTGTAAATGTGTATCAATACAGTGTTAATATAATGCAACTTGATGGCAAAGTGAAATACTGTACAGAAAGAGTAATATATTTTTTCTTTGTTAGGTCCAAATATTGCAACAGGGTTCTGGTGACTAAAATTAATATGTGTGAATGTAATATAGATAGATTAAAATAAAATAGATTTTGATTAATTTTTATTTTTAAACATGAAATTCTAATGAAACTTTGAGATTTTACTTCCTGGGCTCTAAACAGAATCAATGTTGCAATGGACATCCTTGTGCACATGTGCAAAGGCTTATCCAGGAGCCATATTTAAGTATTAGAATTGTATTTTATTCTAATATACAGTGCTCAAGGGCCCTCCAAAAAGACTAAAAACTATGCCCTCACTAGCATAGTCTGTGATAATACATATTATCAAAATATTCTGATAGTCTGATAGGTGGAAAAAATGTCTAGTTATATTAATTTGTATTTTTCCAATTAATTTCAGATGTTTTGTATATTTATTGGATTTTTGTTTTCCTTTTGGTGACTTTTCCTCTTTGTATCCTTTGCCAATTTCTTTCTTGGATTGTTTATCCTTTCTGTTTTATTTATAGGAGTTATTTATGTATGGTTTGGACTAATTTTTGGCTGCTATTTACGCTGTAAACATTTATCCCAATTTGTTTCCTATATTTAACTCTGTTTATGGTATCTTGATTTCTTCCTTTTTTATTTTACTAAAGTCGAATTTATTGTTTTCCTATTTATTTACTATTTAATACATTCTTCTTAATCCCTACATTCATAAAGGTCATGAATGTATTTTCCTATATTTTCTCTCAATAATTTTATAATTTTAATGTCTTTAATCCACCCAAGACTTATTCGTAAGAATGATACAAGATAGAAATCTTTAATTTTTTTTCCCCTCAAAGGAATAGTCAATTTTCTGGACACCATTTCTTGAATAGGTCATCCTTCCCCCACTGACGCCACCTGAATCCACCAGCATTGTTCACACTGCTGCACACAGCATGCTATTCCCCTTCCTAATGCCATCCGCACTGCATGCCCTCTTCCTAGGCTAAAGCCTACTCAAGATTAAATTCAAGAGGCAGCCCTCCACCCTCAGAAAGGTTTCCTAGTCACATGTATGCTTCACACCAACCAGTGATTCCCATTTAGAACGAATCCAAACTCCTTACCGCAGTCAACAAGGCCATATGAAAGCTGTCTTCTCTCAGACATCATCTGCCATACTCTCCCTTTGCTCACTCATCTCCAGCTTCACTGGCTTTGTTGTTCCTCCAGTATTCCAAGCCCAGGCTCTTAGAACTTGTGGACCACGCTGCCTTTGGATTTATTTCCCTCTTGCATGCTTAGTTCCTTGTCTTCCATTTCTCAGCTCAAATGTCCACTCTTCAGAGAGCTCTTTCTGGTTTGCTCTGTTCAAAATAGTGTTTTGTCCAATGGCATCACGTTATCCCTTGTCACCTTTATTTTCTTATTATCACTAGTGGAAATATCACTTTTTGTTTATTTCCAAATTATCCATCTCTTGCATTAGAATGTGGTGATTTTTTTCCTGTCTCATCTATCACTCTAGTCCCAAGATCTAGGTAAAAGACTGACACATAGTAGAGAATTAATGAATGTTGAATGAACGAATGTCCTTGCTTATGTTCCTGAAGGGATGTGTGCTTACCTCTGTCATAGCAGCCCCCACACTATTTTAATTGGGTTTTCCTTGACTGATGTTTATACTAAGCTTCCTGAAGGATCATGATTTTTTTTTCTCTTTCTTTCTTTCTTTCTTTCTTTCTTTCTTTCTTTCTTTCTTTCTTTCGGTCTTTATGTCTGGTGCTTGACACAGGATCGATAAATGTATATTGGCTGAATAAATAAGTGCATAAATGAATTCACTTGGCATTGACATTGGAACTTGACACTGAGATGCCATTTTTAAAGAGTAAATATATTACTTTATTTATTTTAAAAAGTTTTTTTTTTAACATTTATTTATTTTTGAGAGACAGAGAGAGAGAGAGAGAGAGAGAGCACAAGCAGTGGAGGGGCAGAGAGAGAGGAAGACACAGAATCTGAAGCAAGCTCCAGGCTCTGAGCTGTCAGCACAGAGCCTGATGCAGGACTCAAACTCACTAGCTGGGAGATTGCCACCTGAGCGCAAGGTGGATGCTCAACTGACTGAGCCACCCAAGTGTCCCAGGAGTAAATATATTACTTTAAAGAAAATACTCACTTTCTTTAGACACCAGTAAAATAATAGCCAACATGCCATATTGTTCATTTGGGGGATTATAATCAGTTATCTAATACTATGTAACAAGCTACCCCAAAACTTAAAGGCTTAAAAAGATAATGATTTATTATTTATTGTAATTCTATGGGTTGGATAGGTGATTCTTCCGCTGGTTTTTCCTGGACTCAATCATACAACTGATTTCAACTGGAGAATCAATTAGGTCTTTCTCCCATTACTGAAGTCTCTGATATTGACTGTTGATTGGGATGCTTGGAATGGCCAAGTCTCTTTCTCCTGGAGTATTTCCTGGCTTCTTTATAGCATGATGGCCTCAGCACATTATTCCAAGAGGG